CTCCCTCCCGTGCACAATCAAAATTGTTAAGTAAATGCTTTAAATATTACTATTGTCAAAATGGTGTATGCAGTATGAAAAAATGTATGTAAAATTCACACTTTCGTTTAAACTCAATATTCAATTGAGAAAGGTTTTAACCCATTACTTCATGAGCATTTTGTGAAAAATGGCTGTTTTCATTGAAAAGTCACCCGTTACAAGTTTAAATTGCTATAATACTATAAAAACTGCTTCAACACTAATCAAACTTGGCACAAATGTTGACTTGACCATTGCCCTTGCAACAACATGCTCAGGCTTAAATTTTCATTTACCATGGCAACGAGGGGACATCTCAAAATTGCCAAAAATCACTATTTTGCGTTAATTTTTTCCACCAAAATTGATTTCAAAGTGCTGCAACTTCTCAATGGATTGAGATAGAGTGTCAAATGCTTTTTCAGCGTTGTTACACTTTACCCTATGATCAACCTGGGTCATTTATAGCCTCTCACAAGTCCATAATTTTCTTGGCGATGAGGGGGACTCCGCCCCCGATCAAATCCCCCAAACAGAAGGGGGCACATCCCCCTCATCGCCAAGAAAATTATGGAAAAAATTCATTTCAGTATTACTTTAATACTCTGGTGCATCAAGATAATTAATCGAGAATCTCTCATGAACAAACTCGATCAGAACAAGTCTGCATTTTTCATTTTTTTCTGAAAAGGAATCTTCCCTTTACAAGAGTTTTGTGACAATTGCAAAAATAAAAATATAAATTGAATTGACGTTTAATTAAAGACTAGGTATTAAAGATCAACACATCACTTTCTATATTACTAAAGATTATTTTAAAAGATCCTGTGATCAACTGTATGTTTTATTAGAAACATGCTAATTTATTTGTTATAATGCTGACGCTTAAATCTAAGTTGCACTGTAAATGTAAATGTTCAAGACTAGAAACGCCTCCAGATGAACAAAAAATATTTCGATAAAGTCAAACCTGGGAAAAATGTACTTACATATAATAAAAAGTATAAAGATTCAAAATTCTAGTAATAATTTACATGTTATGTGCGATTAATGAACGTTTTTTCTTCAGTATTTTTAACTACATTTCTACTGCGTTACTAACGCAGTAAGAGCTATTTTTGCACATTTTGACCTCTTAATGGTAATTAACGCGGATTGTAAGTGCCATTGATAATGTGAAACTTGCATTCTTTTGGTGACTTCACAATATTATACTGTTAAATACATTTTCAAATTTTCAGGAAAATTAGCATGAATCTGGAGGCGTGCTGCTTTAACGCCTATTTGCAACAGATACTCTTCAAACACTTCAATGAACATTCGAAAACTGTATTGATATATAACAGTACAGTTTTTTCATTGATTCATATAGTAAAAAAAACTCGACTGCTATTAAAATACACTTCTAACATCACCAGGGCTATGCACTTTCTTACCAAAGTCGGTTTAAAACCGTAGCTAAGAACCTTGTTCTACACAACATTTGTGTTTTGACAAATTGTCAGACCATCATTGTTTATAACAATAATACAATATAGAATAATTTGATTAACAGTTACAACTCATTTGGAAATGTTGGAATTTAAATAGTGTCCGCCTATTGTATCGTTAAAGGAAACAAACCTCAATGATCTGTATGGAAGTCCTGAAACAACATCCCCTTGACTCAGTGGCGTACCTACCGATACGCCAATACGCACGGGCTTATAAAAAGAAAAAGTTTCGAAAAAAAATATCAAAAATGAAATCATTAATTTGGGCGAAGATCGATCGGCATATTCGTAGCTGCTTATTGATTCTATAGGTATGCTTAGGATGTTACCTTATTCGAATATGCGTTACCTTTTTATGCACAATCAAAACTTCAATTATGAAGAAAGGGATTAAAAATATGATACAAACAATTTCTTTGGAATTTTCTCTTTTTTTTCAGCTTTAGTTAAGCGTTATATTGCTAATATACCACGTTAAAAATCCAAACAAGGATAAGAATTGTCCAATATATTACAATAATTTTTTTTCAGAAGAATCAAATCAGTGAAAAGTAAACATTTATTTCATTTTATACATCTAGATCTATATGCAAAATAAAGATCTTGTTTGCAACTTGGCGTTTGCAGCACAATGGAAGGGAGTGAGTTAGCTGTATGGAATGTCTTTTTTTATATATTACCTTGTAACTATAAATCAGTATATTATTTTTAAGTTCAGTAATATTCATTCAACTTATATTCATTTCAAATTATGTAGAATAGTTTTGACACTGTGAATCAGTCTTTGCAGTGAACTATTGCCAACATCCATCGTCATAAACCAAATTCAACTTTTGTTTATTTGACCGTAAAATAGAATTCAAGTATTTACAAAATATATATCACTACAGAAAATTGTTTCTACTGTATATATTTATATTCTTTATTATACGTAGTCTCATCTATACATATTTAAACATAGACAAATATACAACGAGAACAATGTATAACCATATAAGACAAATCATGTCTAAATTACTTCATTTATTTTTGCCGACTTAAGATAACAAATTGGCGAGTCTGTTTATACCAACGTGCTTTATGTGCGTGAGGCATTCAACTTCGTAATGAAATAACTTAAATATTTCGAATGGAAATTGAAAGACTAGAGTTGAGAACAAAAATGTTAAAGGCAATATTTATTGTCTACAACATTGACATAATACGCATCAAAAATATTTTAAGGAAGCTAAATGATCATGCGATACTACATTTTAGCTGTGAATACGATAACCTTTTCGTTACACTAAACATTAATTTTAAGCTGTTGTGTTTGTATTAAAGTCATACAGATCATTTTAAAGCATATTTTCCTTGATTATATCTCACGTTAAGTTATGGTGAAACAAAAGAAAAATAACAAAGAAAAAACTTAACTTGTTACAAAAGGAAATAAAACCCATCTTTTTACAAAAGAGACGCCTGGCTATGTTTCGTTTTTTCTAAAAGCAAATAACTTTTGAACTATTTAAAACAGTGTACACGTTAGACTTCGTGCTATTTCTCACATTCAATATATGTACTTGATGTTATGATAAAGGCAATAGTAGAGTACAATTAGATTAAAATATCCCCTAAATCTTTAGTTATAGCACATAGCTATCTTTGATCTCTGGCGATCCTTCGGTCAAAAACCAGCACACGGCGTACAATCATAATAAGCCGAGGTACGCACCTGGGCTTCTTATTTCTGTAAATATTTTGCTCCAGTTTCTGTAGATCTATACAGCAGTTCAAATCGTTCAGCACTGCTTGAAACAACAGTATACATGTACTTAGATCTACTCGCTATCCTATTAAAATATAAAAAAAACAAAATATATCATTTAAAGAACTACACACAAAATTTAAAATTCATTTATCGTTGTATCTAAATAACCACGACTTCTCAGAAAAATCTACATTCTCACATATCTATTCCTTGTAAAAATAATAGAGACACGTTATGATGCCATTGTGAACTACAACAACATGTCGACTTAGTTCTATACTGTACATATACCCTTTTAATAAAAATTAAATTTATGGATACTAATAAAGTATATGTTATATCTACTTGATTAAAGTTTATACCGTATTTTTCTTCAATTTTAGTGTAGAGATAATCTAACTTCAGCTTCAATCGCAACTACTCGGCACTTTCCGTCAGTATTCGGATAAAGACCTCGAACACAATAGTATGAATACACAGAACGGATGTGGTCTTTCGGTCTAACCTACGCTAAGAAACTAAATATGTAAACAAATAGTAATTAAATACTGGGAGTTGTTGACAAGTTTATTTCCAATATATGTAGTAAAAGTCAACCTAAAATAAGTGAATTCATAGGTACAAAAGCAAACAATACATTATTTTTATATTTATCACTATGGTTGCAGAAACAGAAAGTACAAAAAAACCAACCTGTTGACATTTAGTCGGATGTGTTTAAAATTGAACATCAGTGGGAATATTTAAATTACAAATTGTTGTCAGACATATTCAAGCATAAGAGTACCGGGACAGACATTAGATGTCAAATATATACATTCGTTTTACTGTTTACATCTGAAACCACGTGGTAGAACTACTCTTAATCCGTATTGTTTCCGAGGTTATTATAGATAATAGTCGAGACAGTTCCGAATGTTTCAGCTTGCGTTTCGCCGACGCTTACTTGTTGTTTTTTTACTTGAATTGGTGCACTCGTGCGAATGCTCATTATGACGTCACAGATTGTCACAATTCTATTTTTAGACACGTTCTGAATTAGAACATTCGATGAACGCAACTGTTCATATTATGTTCAACATTATTAAAGCACCATCACTTATTGAATTGTGTAAATCTAACATCAGTTACAATACATTGACCAAAAAATCATACCCAAGTACTAAAAAACTCAAATACTTTCATGTTGTCTAGTCAGAAGGACTGCCATTGAACACTGACGCTCAAGTAATAAGTGTTCAACTCGTACATAGAACGCCTTCGTTGAACACAGGTATTCAAAATATAACGCGAAATGTTCCAAAATTGAACAAGTGTGAACGTGATCGGTGTTCTCCTTATATACAGTGTGGGAAGGGCGGTCTATGTAAAGAACAATCAAACTGTTTCCCTCAAGCTGTATCTAAGGGATTTCCTTCAATACCGTATTTCAGTGCATTTATGCTAAACAGCTATACTAAAAATCTTATTACGGGCCTCATACTCAAATAACAACGCAGATTTCCTTGTATAAATACAATTGTTTCTCTCAGCGAGTCATATTCAGATACATTTTCTGATTTTATTTTTCAACTGTCCTCATCAAAATGGGTTTCTCATTGTTATTTTCATTTGCTATTGTCGTTGGAATATATAGTAATAATTTTTCTGAGGCTAGAGAGCCTGTTTGTTCTAAATTTGCATATGAAGAACAGCTTTTAGAGAAAATGATAAGAACTGAAATTAAGGTAGAAACAATGGTGAATGAAATTAAGAAAACTGAGGATAATGTCATCAGTACATTAGGCGACATCAAACGAGCAGTAGCTGACTTTACGGGCATGTTTGCAGACATCAGAGGAAACATAACGGATGAGATGTTAAAGAGCGGCGATGAGATAAACAGGAGAGAAGGTAAAATATTATATTTATTTATTTCACATTAAATTCACATTTCTTATACATAAATATTTATACCGGAACTGTACTGATAAAGAACGAAATAAATGTGATATATTTGTATTTTCTTTATCTTTCATTGTTGTTCAATTGTTAGCATCAATGTATTTTAATAATGGGTATTGATTTATTGAATATAGTTAAAACAATGTAGATATAGCAACTTAAAAATATTTACAAAAATAAACCATTATTTTTGTAAACTAATTGACATTTAATACACCATTGTTAACAAACAATGATGTTTTCGCCTCTTTTGAAATGTTAGAATATGAGATGACTTTTGTTGTCGAACTTTATAAACACTATTTTCTTTATTAACCTAAGCACGTATTGAATGAATTAAAATGATATACGATACATCTCCAAGAAAAATCGATTGTTTAAAAAGCTATAATAGAGAAATGAATCTTTAAAGAAAAGTTGTTTACTAATAGAACTTTAATACCTTATTACAGAATCGTTCAAGAAACGTTTTGAAGAAACAAGAAACAACCTAATTAGTGACATTGACGCTAAAAAAGTGGAACTTAATCAAATTCAAGGTAGTGTATCTTACTTTAATTCAACGTCATGACTATTTTTCAAATCTGTGTAAGATAAATTTGTAATTCATTTATATTTATCTACAACTTAACATAACAAATTAAATTGTTGCTAATTTGACCGATGCATTCATTTAATCAAACACTTTGTTAGTAATGTATTCAACAAACAAGAATGATCTGATATGTTGCTCAATGTGTAAATTTGTAACTATCATAAGATGTTCAAATGATTTAATTCGCACATTCAATTTTCAAGTATTCCATAATTTAATCTATACAGATATTGTCCGAAACGAATATAAGGCTTGTTTTTCTTATTTACGTATACCCCGTTATTTAGATATCGCTGCAATTTATTTTACAGTTTAAGTATATAAACACCTATATTCAGATAAATAATTAAAGCGTGAAATCTAACTATCCTTGTGCACCATAAATTGTCAGTTTTCACTGACAATGAAATATGAAAACCCGAAAATAACTTGTTTACAAAATATCAATATGTGTTACAATATAAAATACAAAACTATTATTTCTATACTCAGGAAAACTCGAACAACCTCCGATCGCTTTTTATTCACATCACTTGAAAGACTTGCTTCCTGATACTACGAATGAGATTCTCATATTCGAAAAGACATTCACTAACGAGGGAACAGGTTACGACACATCCACAGGAATCTTCACGGCACCTGTCGGAGGACTGTACCAGTTTGTTATTCATACATGTGCTTATAGAGGAAAACATGCTTATCTTGGCCTTGTGATGGAAGGTAACGTAATTGCAGCAGATGCTAACTATGGTGATGAATCTCATGGCTGTAGTAACTTTGGTGCTTTAGTGAGAGTAAAATCAGGAGAAAAAGTTTGGGTCAAATCAACATCGTCAAGTTCTAATCGCCCGTTAGTTCAAGACAGATACAGGATGAACACATTTAGTGGGATACTTGTCAATAACTGAATTATAAATAAATCAATACTAGTAATTATTAATGGGTTTAAAATCTGATTTCAGTGTTATAACATTGTTATTAGCTGGTGTTAAACGTAAACGTTTTGATGTAAACTGCTTCAATGCATTTCTTGAGACTCTCATTACATGTAATACGTAACAGGAGTGTTTTGTGAAATGAGTCGAAAATTGTCGATTTATCTATGATGTGTCTATATATGTTGTGACGAATATTATTCATACAATGTTTTATTTTGCATATTACCATTATTAGTTTATGTTAGTATCTTATAGCAAAAAAAAGACTGATTGAAATTTATTACAGCAAAGAAAGCGAACCTTATGTTTATGTATGTTTTGTTGGTATGTAATTTAAAGCAATTGAAGTTTCTATGTTTATTAAAACAAATAATATACACCAGTGAAATTAAATCTATGACAAACATTAATGTCAAGTGTTATTGAAAAAAACCTGACATTCTTAACAAAAGGACCACCAAAGGGAATGAACTTTACCATGTTAAGTTAGTGCATTCACTTCAGATCAATAAAAATAATCTTGATTTATATTTCTGCAAGAGAATTATTTTACTCAACATGAACATTGTATATCTTATAGTCTAAGATAAACTTCTATTCTGTTCTGCTCCTTAAAAGTAAAATCATTACTGAAACACCTTTTAAAGGATTTCAAAGTACGTGCATTTGCACGTGCAACATTGTAAATATTTGATTGAAACTAATGGATTACAAACAACACATTTAATTGTTTCCATGATGTGTATTAAATGACAACCTTAACAAGTCTCGGTGGTTAGAGAATTACCATATCAGTAAATAACATGGTGGTACTGGTATTGGTTGTTGTCTTGTTTTGTTATAAATCAGAACTAGAACCTTGACGTATCGGACTGTGAGTCATGCATATATGTATACGCTTAAAACAACGATCTCAAACATTTTGCGAATTTCAATTGTCAATCTAAATATTTTTTTGAATAAAGTTCACATTATCGTGCAAACATCATAAAACACACATGAAATGTTATAGTTGTAAAAGTTTAAAATCGATAATCAAACCAATGTTTTGAAAATAAAAAATCATCGGAGTACCTAGCACTTTTGTTAAATTTACATGACATATATCTCATTATATAAAACCGAGTCTGCAACTGTCAGCTGTTTGCTTTGTTTTTATTGCTCTCGAGAAATCTGCCTTTTTCCAGATACATATCAGCTACATTATGAAGTAGCGAATCGGCTCACTTCAGTTTTGTTATATTGTTCTGGTCCTTCGGGATCATTGATGCAAGCAATATTAAATGTTGAGAATTGAGTACTGTTCAAGCCGGTGCTAGGGTGCGTGATGGATGTTGCATTTATTCAATATCCCTCAAGTACAGACTCAATCAAACCGAGTCTGCAATTCTCGTGTAATTTTGTCTGTGATTAATGCTTCCGAGGGATCACTTTGTTTCCAGCTTTTCATATAGATCTTATTCTGGCTGTACTTGTCCATATATCTCTTGAGTATCTTATGTAACGAATTAATGATATTAATTTTACATCCATTCACTTAAAATCCTTGTCCAATCAATAACTTGCAAAGTAATAAGCCCTGCGTTTTATTACTTGATAGAGCCATTGCCGTTAGTCCCTTAGTGGCCAGTAGAAAATCCCTTATAAATTTTGATGTCACATAGTAACTCGTGCTCAAGACTTAGTTACTCGTGCGTACCTCTTAACTTGTGTGTACTTCTTAGAATCGTGCGCACGACTAAGTAAGCCGTATGCAGAACTTAGTAACTCGTGCAAACGACTGAGTAATTGGTGTTCACGACACCCTATCTCTTGCTCATCTTATTTATTATCTCATGTGCACTCCTATATAACTCATGGGCAAGACAAAGTATCCCGTGTGCACGATTTAATATCTCTCCATAATATATATCTTGATAGTAGTATGTCGTCCAAACTTAGGGAGATAGACATGTGATTATCATCCATTGTAGACACCTGTAATTCCCAGGGAGAAAAATATGTATACGATACGGAGATTCTTACGAGAGGCAGTTTCATCTAGTGGTCTGCGTTCATCAAAGATTGTTTTGATAGACAGCGGAATCAACTGAACAGTATTCTGGCAAGATCTCACAGAAATATTTTTATAAGATTTCCGTACATAAGATTCCCCCAAGATTATGCCCGAGACTTGGTTATTAATTAATGCGCAGGACTTAGTATCTCGTGCGCACGACTTCGTAACTCGTGCCAACGACATAATAATCTCGTGTACACGACTAAGTTACTCGCGCGCACGACATAGTATCTCCTGTGCACGAAATAAATAAAAACACACACATTTCCCGTCTGAGGCACCGTATATACATTAAATAATAGCGTCCGCTATAATGTTTTTTTTTATTGATATATCTTATTGTCACCGGTTTTATAATTGAAGTATAACGGCACCCATTGTATCATTAATGTCTTTATCAGAGTGTCTCGTTAAATATGAGGAAACTTATCATTTATTTAATGCGAGGACCACTCAGAAACATTTCTTATAATCAAACAATATATAATGATTTAGATAATTAAGATAAAATGTTATAAACAATTATATATTTACGTTTTCTATTTGAAAGAAGGGCCGGGAAGAGTGTTGTTTTACTTATAAAAAATCATTACATTACTAAATAGTATTTACAAATTACATGTTATTCATTAATTACATTGTAATATGTTTGAGATTATTGAAATTCAATTCAATCCTGATGAACCTATTAAAGATTTTAACAAATGATCAGGGGTAGGTAAATCGAATTCAGAGGTGGTTACAAATTTATGGATACTTTAGAACAACACCATTCAACCATGTAAACGCATGCGTAACAGTCGTTTCTTTTCCAAAGTGTAAAAAATTCAAATATAAGAAATGGTTCACATTTGTAATTAAATGTACTCATCACATTTTCAGACATGTGAACGTATTCTCTCTTATTGTACCGTCTATGCATAATCGAATGATGAGTTGACAGTAAAAAAAAATAAAAATGCCATATGAATATTTTCATATTACAAAAGAATAAAGCGGAAATATCGACTCTAGACGCATTTCACACTTTCCAGTTAGCTGGAATTCATCGGTATCCAAGCTATTGGTTTTAAAAGGGTTGTCGTGAAATATTGAAGCAACTGAATAAATTAGAAAGAACGTATGTACGAACATAAAATCATTTATTTTGACAAACGACACGTATAATGTTCTTTATATACGTACATTTATAGCGAAGGCTGCGAACTTCATGAATATGAGTTAATTTGCCATCAATAATATGTTTTATGCAATGAATATTTGTTTCTGACAATAAATAGAGGATATTGAATGTAAGTCAACAGATGATGAACAAGATCAACAAGGAAAGGCGGCTTTGGACGCATCCCGTAACACAGCCCAGCAACACAGTTCCAATACTGAATTCATTAAACGAATTGAATAAAATTATAATTTTATTTTATTCAACGAGGTCAATACATATTGTAACACGAATATAATATTCAATTTACATGATGCCGAAAATAGTAAAAAGGTGCAATTTTCATTGACACGTTTATAACTAACATTTAGCGCGTCTTTACTCTATATTTGTATAGCGCAAATGACATCATATCAAAATATGCACGACCGTGCAATACCGTTTATGCGGAGATAAACAGCGCGGGTATTCTTATATAATGACTATTAAGATATTATGTTATCATATCATTTATTTAATTATATTTCTTACAGAACGAATTTTTTCTATGTTGCCGACACAAGCATTATAAGCTATTGATTTGACGTTTGTTAAACGTTCCCTGATCCTAAGTGCTAAAGAACCTTAATCAAATGTTTTCGTACGGGCCTCGTTTCAAATAAGTCGGCAGATTTCCAACACAACAGTTTTAATAACGTTTTGAGATTCAGAGTGTGTTTTTAAACATTTCATATTAACTTATGTAAAATGACTTTCATACCGTTAGCTGCGTTTTTAATTATCTTTGGAATGTATAGCTCTCAAGTTTTGGAGGCTAAAGAACCTGTATGTTCTAAATTTGCATATGAAGAACAGCTTTTAGAGAAAATGATAAGAACTGAAATTAAGGTAGAAGCAATGGTAAATGAAATTAAGAAAACTGAGGATAATGTCATCAGTACATTAGGCAACATTAAACAAACAGTTGCTGATTTGACGGGTATGTTACGGACATGTTTGCAGATATGAAGGGGAACATAACAGATGAAATGTTAAAGAAAAGTTACGAGATAAAAAGAAGAGAAGGTAAAATATAAACACCAGATCTACATTGTTAGAGAATAATATTTGTATCCTGAAATATTACTGATGCAATGCGAAACATGACTTATATCTTTAGCATTATTATATCTGATTGTTGTGTTAGTCTGAACCAATATAACGAGTAATAGTTCCTATAGCTTTATGAAAACTGAAATGATAAAATCGGTTATATGACAAAAGCATGGAACATTTATAACTTAACTCATACCCCGGTTACAATTCTGACATATTTACGTAAAATTTCTATGTTTGTTTACGGTAGACTATGGCATTACTTCATTGCCGCATACTGATAATCTATTTTCAGCTTTCTCAATCCGTCTCGTTTTAAACGCATCGTAAAAATATATTATTATCAACAAAACTAAATAATAAATAATAAGTAAGTAAATAAATAATAAGTAAATAAAAAAATAAATAAATATTAAATAGATAAATAAATAAAGGAAAGTGAAAAGGAAAAGCGTGTTTAAAAATAACAACAGTGAAAATGGTAAGTTTTCACATGTAAATTTTCATAAAAATGATTTATAATTAACAGCCTCGTGCTAAACAATATGCTAGAACGAGCATAAACATGTATAAAAGAGGACATCAGTTAATTGTTAAACTATCAAAATTATGTATCAAAGAACACAGCTGTATTTTTAATATATTTAGATTTGCGGTTATATTTATTTATGGTTTTCGGTATATGATTACAAAACATGAATTACAGTGAAAATTTATGTTAAGATTAATATACCAAACCAAACACATTTCCATGAAGGTAAACGCTGACTCATCACATTGATTCATTTTATTAGTGAACTGATTCCCATTCATTTTATATTGAATTTCGTCAGAAAATGACTACCACGTCAGCCTAAAAAAATTAGAAAAAATTCAATTTAAACTCGATTATAGAAGGAAAATTGAAATATATATTAGAATGCAAGTTGTTTTTCTTAACTTAAGTTTTATTTAAAGGGGCTCCACTGAGGTTTAAAAAACCTAAAAACACAACATTAGAATTTCTAACATAAATGAACTTGGCGCTTTAAACAGAATTATATGCAAGGGTAGTTAAGAAATATACTTTAAAATATATCGAAAATCGTAGTTTTATGCTTTTCTAAGCCTAATTTGAGTGAAAAGCGTTTAAACGCTTTTCATTTTGGGTCATTTTTTTACAATTTGAATAATTATTATGGAAAAACGAAGTGCGCGAATGATCTGAAAGTTTGCACAAAGATTCGTGGTCTACACCTACATCAAATGGTACATTTATCTGGAAAAAAAACTATTTTCAGTCCCATCATGTCAAAAAACCTCAGTGGAGTCCCTTTAAGAAGTAACTCCATGGCTATGTAAAATTAGGTTTCAAATCAAGTTCCGTGATATCAGCAAAACCTTCTGCACACAGTTCATATGTACACTTAATAACATATACATTTTGTATAAAATTTATTGAACTTTGGTTACAGAGTAATTTAACTTTGATATATTTTTCATAGAATCATTCAAGAAATTATTTGAGGAGACAAGAACAAACCTCACGAGTGACATGAAAGCTAAAAGAGAAGAGGAACTTATTCAACTTCAAGGTATTTTTCTCACTTTATATCAATGTAATGATTACTTTCCAAAACAGTGTTTCATAAAACTTTATTTGATTATACGATATTCAATTGGTTGTTTTAAAGTGCATTCACCTTACAATACATCAATAATAAGTTTGAAATATTAAGAACTTGTTGCTGTAGATATAAACTGGTCCAACCATCATCCTTAAACTGATATAATTACGTGTACATATTCTAATTTTGAACACATGCCATTATCTTTATTCTACAAACATGTTTCTATTTTACATAGATATTCATAAGATATTTCCCCAACGCTTATATCATAAATGGAATGCCAAATTAAATTCAGGAAGTCTGGCTATTCTTTACATTTAACCATCGGCTACTGATACGCATTAGAATTCTTAAGTTTATATAAAATTACCCAATATACAAAGCAAATATAAATCATAAAGAAACAATTGTAAGAAACACGTACTTACTTAACTATTTTCTATACGCAGGAAAACTTGAACGACCTCCGATTGCCTTCCATGCACATCACGTGGCAGATTTGGTTCTTGATACTACAGATGAGATTGTTATATTTACGAAAAGTGTGATTAACGAGGGAACAGGTTACGACACTTCTACTGGAATATTTACAGCACCCGTTGGAGGCCTGTACCAGTTTTCTGTGCATACATGTGTTTATAAAGGAATGTATGCTTACATTGGCATAGTGTTAGAAGGTAAAGTTATTGCAGCTGATATGAACTATGATAAGGATCACTTTACATGTAGTGCTTTCGGAGCAATAGCGAGAGTAAAATCAGGAGAAAAGGTTTGGGTAAAATCAACAGTGTCAGATTCCGTCCGCAAGCTTTACCAAGACTCACATAGGATGATCACTTTTAGTGGAATGCTTGTCAATAACTGAATAAATAAATTATTCAACATTGATACCTGAAGAAATCATATTTTTATATTTGTACAAACACATTTTCGTGTAAATTGTTTCAATCTAGACTTTATATCACAACAATTAGATAGCATTTTTGTGAAATAAGAAGAAACCCTAGGTTGTATCTATAATATATCTAGATAATATTAAGAATATAAATCATGTTTTGTTCACTGTGTGTATTCTGGAAAGCCAAAATATATAGCCTTTATATTTTACAAGATTTCTTTCTTTTGAAAAAAAATATGTTTATCGGGGGAGGATCATGTCATTTGTTTCAGTTAATAAACAAATATGTAAACATAAACAGTGAATTTTAGAGAAGAAGCCGTGCGTTACCACGATCAAACCGGTAATTTCTCTGGCTTCGAATCTGGTGACGCGCATTTAAGATCAAGAACGGAACAAAACATGGAATAAAATCCTGTGTGCCCGGAAAAGTGTGGAGAAGGTTGTTATATGTACCTTTACACCAGAACATTACGAATTTCAGAGAAATAAGGGAAAAACTTACTTTTTCAGCTGTATCCGCCATTTTGTTTGTTTAGGTAACGAACGGCGTGATTCTCCCCCTTGATTCTGATGGCAACAAATCTAAATTTCTTTTTATGGAATACCATATACAACAACGACGCCAGGATTTCAAAGAAATAATTCATATATACATGTATATATGATGTATTATTCAGTTTTCATAACATATTTAGCTTTTTTGAAATAATATATCTAAAGTTGTGTTGATCTACTTACAATGATTATCGTCTGCCGAATATTTTGATTACCAATCTCAGAAAAGATATTGCTGTGTTTATTAGTAATCAAATACAACTATATTATCGCATTTTCAAGTACATAAGGCATGTACACATTTGTACCTTTTAAAACTATTTTTTACATTGCCCGTTAATACCATTTGTACATGGTGATATTATGGCATATAATTTCATCTGATGAACAGCATGCGTTCTTAGTTACTTCATATCCAAAAGCACCAATGTAATAATCTTAAACTAACTTTGAAACACTGTTAATCAGCTGACCATTTACTGCAAAGTTGGTTATGGTATATAATAACAGGATATACTGTATCTTTTGGAAGAGAAAATGAGATGTATGTATGTCTGTTTGTTATTGTAATGACACACAAGACTAAGTAAAAACTCAAAGTTAACCAAAGTATATTACAGCAATAATGATCAGGTACATGCACTTTTTCTTTGAAAGTGTCGTTTTTCAAATTCATTTCTTTTGTTTATCTAGTCTTTCATCACATACACGTGACACTTTTGCAAATACTTAAAAGCATAGTTGCACGCCGGTCCATATATTTGGCGTACTTATATATTTAAACTTCATTTGCGTTATACAGACAAAGCGTAAAACTGTGCTAAATGTAAGCATTATACTATAAGCTAGTCAAAGAGAAAAACAATTTTACTGTAAACAGCTCTTATTTTTGGATATGTAATACAAAGAATATAATATCAGTGTAGTTTCATTTCTAAATTTATTGACGCTCGCAATGATATATTTCATTCAACTCGTTCAATAAATTAATTCTGACCAAGAATGACCAATATTTTGTAAACTACATCAGTAACTTTCTTACATACAACAATTCATTTCAGTATTACTTTAATACTCTGATGCATCGAGAATCTCTAACGAACAATCTTGATCAGAACAAGTCTGCATTTTTCATGTTTTTTCTGAAAGGAATCTTCCCTTTACAAGGGTTTTGAGACAATTCCAAAAAATAATAATTTGAATTGACGTATAATTAAAGAATTGGTATTAAATATCAATACAACACTTTCTTATTACTAAAGATTATAATAAAAGATCCTGGAATCAACTATATGTTTTAATAGAAACATGTTTTATTATTTGTAATTGTACTGTCACTTAAATCTAAGTTGCATGGGAAGTGCGGTCCATGTAAAGAAAATCAAACTGTAATCCTCAAACTGTATCTAAGAGATTTCCTTCGATACTGTCATGCTGTTCTTGCATGTACAGAATTTTCAGTGCCTTGCTCAAGTGAAGGCAACTAGTACTGGTAAACTGCCTGACAACCTGCCCAGGAACGATGCGGTGGTTGAACTGTGCTCGTGTGAATTAAATGTGGCTAACTGCCGTGATCCAGAGTGAAAACTACCAACTCCACCACCTAGTACTACCATCATCCTTAAACGTATTTAATAACGTGTATATATTCTAATTTTGAATACATGTCATCATCTATATTTCACAAACATGTTTTTTATTATACCTTTAAAATATCATGTTTCACACAGATATCCATAAGATATGTTCCCAACGTTTATATTACAAATTGAATGCCAAATTAAACCCAGGAAGTCTGGCAATTCTTTATATATAACCATCCACTTATGATAAGCATTAGAAATCTGTTTATTTAAAAATTACCCAATACACAAACGAAAGTTAAATTGTAAAGAAACAATTGTAAGAAACATGTTCTTATTTATTTTTTCTACACTCAGGTAAACTTGAACGACCTCGGGTCGCTTTCCATGCACATCACGTGGTAGATTTGCTTCTTGATAAAATAGATGAGGTTATTAAATTTAGGAAAAGTTTGATTAACGATGGAACAGGCTATGACACTTCTACTAGAATATTTACAGCACCCGTTTGAGGACTGTACCAGTTTTCTGTGCATACATGTGCTTACGTTGAACAATTTGCATACATTGGTCTGGTGTTGGAAGGTAACTTATCGCAGCAGATTCAAATTATGATGAGGATTATTACACTTGTAGTTCTGTTTGATTAATAGTGAGAATAAAATCAGGAGAAAAAGTTTGGGTCAAATCAACATCGCCAAGTTCTAACTGCCAGCTTCAACAAGACTTGGTTAGGATGAATACATTTAGTTGAGTACTTGTCAATAACTGAAGGAATAAATATTTCAATTTTTGAATATGACATTTTATATCTGATTTCTTTCATTCATACAATGATGATTGTATGACGAATATTTTGATAACCAATCTTCCAGACTCACACAGTGGTAAACACATTTAGTGGAGTACTTGTCAATAACTGAAGGAATTAATCATTCAACTTTTGTTAATGACCTTATATATCTGATTTTTTTACAAACATTCATACAATGATGCTCGTATGTGACGAATATTTTGATTACCAGTCTTAAAAGATAGTAGTTTGATATGTTTATCATTAAAAATAAACAACTATATTCTCGCGTTTTCAAATAAATATGGCATGTAAACATTTTTTTGTATATTATTTTGCACATTATATTATCTGATGAATATCATGCGCTATTATATGATAGATACTCATGTCTATCAATATTTTTAACTTAATCCTTACTTTGAAACACTGCTCACCAACTGATAATTTACTTCAAAAGTTTGTTACAACATTTTATCTGGATATATAATATCCCATGTTGTAATGAACTTTGGGAGGTAAAAATGACATGTTTGTGTGATGTTTGTTTATTGTTGCAATGACAGATCAGTCTCAATAAAAACCTACATCAAATTTTACAGCAAAGAAAAAACATATGTTACAAAATTATTATGAAGTACATGCATATTTTCTATGAAAGTATCGCTTAGCAAGTCATATTTTTTGTTTATGTACAAAATCATTAATCAGAAACCCATGGCGCTTTAGCGACACCTTGAAAAAAGTTTTTCACTTCCGGCCGTTCATATATCTCTATGTGACATCTTTTGCAGACAAAGTGTAAATACGCGCTAAATGAAAGCTTTATACATTAAGCGTAACAATGATCGCAATTCTTTATTTCTGTGTGTTGTAAATTTAATGTTATATTCGTATAGCTACATCACTAGGTTTATTGAACTCTTTGAAAAAATGATTTGTCCGCGCAGTATTGAACCTACACTCATTCAATATCTTATATATATTTATGTAATAGTACAAATGTGATAAACTAATTCCCGTATTCGCAATAAATTTGTTTAGTACATGCATTTAATTTTAGATATATTATAAATAAGTTAGTAAAATTTTTATTGTGATGACATGTGCATATCTATTACAATACACATCTACGAAAAAAAAGATAACACTGTACACGGTCCAATGGGCCTATAAAGCAACAAGCAATTACATAATAATAATAATTATTATTATTATAATAATAATAATAATCATCTACATTATTAACACATATATTATGGTTTTGTTTTTAATTTTTTTAATTTTGAGTCAATTGGTTTTTTTTAAATTTGAAGAACCTATTTAGTAAATAATACTTTTTTCGCTTGATTATATTTTAAGGAGTTTTTTTTTCGCTTTCTTTTTCCGGGTTGTATATTTTTAACTTTTTAATTTAAATTTGTCCCCCCGAAACCCCCTTTCATGTAAATTAAAAAAAGGGGAAAATAAAAAAAAAAAAGGCCCAATACGAATCCTTATTTTAAAGTTTTTCCCTATTTTTTCTTTTGAAAAATTCCCTTTAATTTTTTAATTTTTCCCTTTCATTGTAATAAATTATTCTTTGTTTATTAAAAATTTTTAAAAACATAAATACGTTTTAAATAAAAAAATTTGAAATGAAAGAGGGGTTGTTTTTTTTCTGTCAGTTTTTAAAAAGGAAAACACGGTTTTCGGGGATAATGCCTTGAGTTAAATGTGGAATAAACAGTAAATCTTGTATAGTTTGATAAAACTTTCGACAGTTATTGTAAAATTATACAATATATTGCAATTTAAAAAGTCGAGACGTAATATAAATTGCTTAAAATTTATGTTTACATTTTCAGGTCATATTATTGTATAACCAAATCTAGTTCGTCCCAATGTTTATACCAAAACACGCCCTCTTGTGGGAAAGCTAGGCAATTCCAACCCAAATTTTGAGCATATTTTCCTAGAAATTCACTAATTAAATGCGTTTAATTTTGCAAATCGTCTGCCTGCTAAGGTTAACAAGTCTTGTGATGTTAACTCATGTTTCGCAAAATATATTTGGTTCTTATATGGTGCCTGTAAGAGGAAGTGTTATTCGTCTTTTTTCTTCCCCTGGTGTTTGAAGGGAAAAAGTCTACATATTCCAAATTTGTTCAAAGCCATTTTCCCTATATAGCCGACCAGTTTTTTATTCTAAGTGCAATATTCCGCTTCTAAAAACTGGC